AAAATCATTATTTCTTTTTAAATAAAATAAAAAAAATTCAATCATTATTCATTATCGGCTTAATCCCACTTTGCACCCTTGAAATATACAATTATGGCACTTTGTACCCTCGAAATAAGTTAATAGCATTTTACATCCTCAAAACACAATATATCATGCATAAATCATAATGCACCCCACGTGAGTTTTTAAAGCTAATAAAGGTAATTTAATATTTTAAGTAGTATTTACAAATTATTTTTTATCACAAAAAAATTATTTTACGAAAAAAAAAATCTTCCAGCTATTTTATTATCAAGATATTTGAAAATCACATTTTCTTCCAAATGTTTCTACAAAATTTTTCCATCAATTACAATAAAAGATCTATCAATCGAATAATTTAGTGTATTTGTTTTATTTTGTAAGAAAATATATTTTTTTCAATTATCCGGTGTGATTACTTTTTTCGCACTTGTGCGCTCGAAATTAGGTTGGAAAACTATCCGGTGTGATTTTAATTTTTTTCGCACTTTATGCGCTCGAAATTAGGTTGGAGGTCGAATAAAATAAACAATTTAATTTGTTATTTTGCACCCCGAAAAAACCCAATAAAAATGAATTATCCTTTATTATTCAATTAAGGATGCATATTGAATGATTTATTGTGATTTAAGGGTGTAAAGTGTTATTATTATTTTTCAAAGATGCAAAGTGCCAAAATACTCCATTTCTTTTTTTTTTTTTTTTGAGTAATTCAAGTCATTACAAGGGAAAGTAGGGGAGGGGGGACTCGAAACCTAGACCTTTTACCCTATTGGTAAGGCTAGGTACCAACTCTCCTAATGAGGGTTGGTAAAATACTCCATTTCAAGGGTGCAAAATTGAATTAAACCTTCATTATCAACAACATTGAAAGAAATATATTGATATATATATATATATATATATATATATATATATATATATATATATATATATATATATATATATATATATATATATATATATATATATATATATATCAATGCTTTTCAAAATTCAAAAGGTGGAAAGTGAAAAATATATTTCATCAACCTATTTAGAAAGGCGGCGGTTATATGCAAGCCCGTTTTTGTATTAGTTCAAATCCACATAAAAGAGTTTATTAGTTCAAGCCCGTAAATTAATCTAATTTTATTACATCAAGACCAAAGAGGACAAATATACCCTATCCACAAATAATACTCAAATACAAATAAATCCTATTTTTAATTTGTTCAAGACCAAAAAATTAAAAAAAAAACAAAAAAAAAAACAAAAAGAAAATATCACGACTTTTGTTTGTAAATTCGAAAATATTAATCGAGCATCGATCTTAATAAACATGTATGAATGAACATTAATCTATGCTTATTTCTTGTTGGGTTGCAATGCTTTGGTCGATTTTGGAAAAAAAAAATTGAGATTGAAATTGCTTTTTTTTTTTTTTTTCGTTGGTTTCCCAAATCGGTTTACCCAGACCGATTTTGTACATGAAAATCGGCGTCACAATGCCGATTTTTGTTAACCAAATCGGCGACACAACGTCGACTTTACAAGTCAAAATCGGCGTTCTAATGTCGATTATTGAGTACAAAATCGGTTTTCTAATACCGATATTTTTCGGATTTTTTTTAATAATACATTGTATATTTGGTTAATTGATATTTTTTAAATATTTGAAACGAAAATGTTTATCACCATTCGGTGGCATCTACGAACTCCTTTAACCCAATCGAGTAGAGCTTTCCGTGTCTCAAATATTTATTCGTTAGATAATTCATTTGAATAATTCTCCATCAATCTCTTAGGTTGCTGCACGAAAGTATGGAAAACGGTCTTAAAGAAACACAGATAATAAAATCGGTACTTAAAAACCGATTTTTGTAGTATAAGTCGGCATGACAATACCGATAATACAAAAATAAATCGGTGTTGTCATGCCGATTTGTACTACAAAAATCGGTTTTTAAGTACCGATTTTCTATTAAAAAATCGGAATGTGGTTGCCGACTTTAGTAACAAAAATCGGTATTTGCAGACCGATTTTTGGTATCGTCGAATTTTTTTCCCAAGAAAAAAAAAATGACCCAAAAGCAAAAATAAACGGTTAAAACATATTTCATTGTGTTCTCCACCCTTGTAAACCACCATATCATTGTTTTCTGGTTCCATGGTGAACGTTTGGTATGTATATGATAATTTTGGTGTGTAGAATCTGTTGGTGGGTTTGTGAAAAATAAGGAGAAGAAGGAGGAGATTTTTAAGTCGTGAAATAAGGAAGAAGGGTTTCTAGATTTATGTATTTTATTTGGTCTTGCATAAATGAAACGATTTTTTTTCTAATGTTTTGTGTTTTTTATTTGATTTTAAATTTCATTAAGAGTAAATTAGTATTTTTATGTTGAAGGTCTTGAACTAATAAAAAAATGGGCTTGCATATAACCGCCGCCATTTAGAAATTATATTTTTTATCACAAAAAAACTAGCTCTTTATAAGCACGAAATTATGCCGGAGGATAGATAAAATAAATTATTTTGCAGCTTCGGGAAAAAAAACCAATACAAAATAAAATTGCCCTCATTAAGTTTTAAAAACTCATTTATGGTACATTCTAAATAATTTATTGTGTTTCGATGGTGCAAAATCCTATTAATTTTTTCTCGAGTGCAAAATACCAAAATACCAAACAATAAGTATTATATTTAAAAATAAGGAACCCAATACGTATGACATCTTCAAAGTTAAAACTCAAGCTATCATGTAACTTCACTGCCAATATTCCCAGCATAGTAAATTGTATTTGTTCAGTTTGAAGTAAATTTCGAAGCTCAAAAGTCTCTGTCGATAATTTTTCAAAAGAGTTTCCAGGACCTGAAACAATCAAAATATCGATAACTCTTTTAACATTAGCAAAATTTAAGGGCTAATCAAAATCGGTACGTATAGAACCCTCTTCCTAAGGAACAAATCATTAGTAAAATCGACAAGTACAGACCTATATTGTTAAACTTTTCTTTGAATTCGCACTCGATGGAGATCTGAACAAGTCACTTGTTCGGTTTATCTTCTTCAAGAAACAAGTGAATGATAGATCTGATAACTTCATTATCTACTACAGTAGAGTTCTGCAAAAATCCACAAACGGAAAGGGATAAAATTTTAGTCAGCTAAAGAGCATAACATTTCCATTGACGAAGTATTGTTAGTTTCTTCAGAACTTTTAAGTGGTCGATCATGCATGAACTAAAGTATTACGGTACAACTTTTAATAATTTTCAATATTAACTGTAGTCTGTGATTTTTAATTTTTTTTCTTTTAGAGACTTGGTTGCGTGAAATTTGTTTAAACAATTAATTAGTTCCTGTCGGAAGATAAACTGACACTAAATTCATACGAACCATATATTTAGCAAATCCAAAAGATGGTACCTGTGGCTTGCTAATGAGTTCCTTCAGAATAGAATGAAGAGTAAATCGAAGTTCTTTAAAGAGGACAGCAGTTTGTGCTGGTGCTGCCATTTTCAGCCAATTATCTACCATGATTAATCCGGTCTGCAAAATTAAGAGCAGACGTGTTTAACAACAACCCGTATTACGCTCTTTGATGGAGTACGGAACAAAATGAACATTTATAAAATTTTAAGAGAAAGATACCTGATGCTGAACATTTATTGATCCACCAAATAACAAAATAGAGTAGGGGGAAACAATAGTTGTGTCTCGCAAATACACTTTAGTTGTCTCAACCTGCAGTTGTTACGTGTACGAATAACAAGTTAATATGGTATCGTGATTTTGCTTCTTTATCTTTAGTTTATCGTGCACAGGAATTAGAACTCATCACCAGACTTGCATAACACAATTGACATTCACAAGAAGCGTTCATACCTTTTCAAGAAAAACCAGAAACGGATATTGAAACGTTTTCTGGCTACTGTTAACTGAAGAAGGGTGTATGTGAACTTCTCTTTTTCCATCATTCCATACAGGACGAGCTCCGGTACTGCCTCCTTCAATGGTGGCAACATTAGGATAGAGACCCGCACATAGTATTGCCTGCGTACGAACCATGTCAATAAATAAGAGGAAAAATTTCCAGACAGTCGATGAAGTTAAACTTAGTATACAGACCTAAAGATTTTATTATCTGATACTCCAACTACTCATAACTGATCAATGATGGACCATTCTACGTTCTAAATTTATGTTTCAGTTGAATTCTCATCATTTTGTGGCTAATGTCAAATCGTTCAGAAAACTGGACCGCACTTGCGGGTACATAAACTAAATATGGATTATTCACAAACAATTACTCAATATTTTGATTCTCTTTTCTTGACATGGCAAAAGGATATAGTATACACATTCTACATGATGTTCAGTGTTAGGAAATCACATTTCAGAGGCCACCAAACTTTAAAGGTGATGCTTTTACCGTGTACATGAGAAGCTAAAAAATACTAAATAAAAAGTGTTTTTTACCTTCACAACTACTGAATGACTAGAGTACTTATTAAATGGCTGCGACAAATCTGAAAGCCAATTATCAAGCTTTTCTTTTCTTTTCCAGCCAACCTGCTTCAAAATTTTGTACTTAGAAGTATGAAAAGTTTTGACAAAAAATATAAATAAAAAAGTAAGTTGACATGTACATATAACAGGCAAATATTCTTTTTTTAAAAAAGAGGGACTAATTCTTGATGCCATTTCATTACCTTAGTTTTCAAGAATGATTGTACAAAACATTTATCATTCAGTATATTTTAAAAAAGAGAAATTACAGAGCTTTAAATACCAATTATAGGAAAATGCTATATGTAATTTATAATTAAAACGGATCCATGAATTAAAAAACTTCAAATATTGAGTAGTTAAAGTAGCCATACCTTGGGAATATTTATCAGCCCAATGTCAGCAAGCAGTGTACCAAATTGTATTCTCATGTCCCTAGCATAATAGCAGATATATGATCATTTGCGATGCATGTGAATTTATACCTTACTTTTTCATTCTTAAGAATAAGATGACACTTTTTCTACAGAAAAAAATGGATATATAGAGTATGCAATACGACCAAGTCAGAAGAGGGTAACATCATACCTTATCATGTACATAACAGAGCTACTTAAGAAATGGGTACTGCAAAACCTTTGTGCTGCTTTAACTCCTTCCTGCAATTAAAGAATAACAGGTCACCTCAAGATAGATTCACTGACATTTTAAACTAGGTAACTGGGAACTGATGTGGACTGTGGAGACACATATTGTAAACACATAATATAATCAAAGCAGTTCAGTTGAGTTTCTTGTAGAGTACGCCATACATCTAAGTCTACGGAAGTTGCTAATCTGGAGGGAAGAAACAGGAAAAATCAATAGTGGAGGCAATATTAAGTTTTTCATTGCTTTAATATTATTCAATTATATGCGGATCCACTAAAAATGAGAGGTTTTCACTTGTCACGGGTGGTTGAGAATATCAATTTCTAATATATCAACGATCAATAAGATTAAATGTCATCTGAAATTAAACTCCAAGAAAGGTTTGGATAATTTTTCAAATTTGAGGGGTGTAGGTGTAACTAACCCAAACTTAGAGGGACACTAGTGTCATTTACCCTAAAAATAATTACTTTACTAAGGTTAAAAATGTTTGTTTATTGAGTTTGGGTTGGGTTTTTAATATAAATCAAACATCAAATGGATATGTGTAATTTTCTAAACCCCAGGGGTTCAGGCTGTATTACAAATAACCACGGAGAAGGTAGATATAATTTGCCGTATCTAAATTAGAACGTGAGAATGGGTCATAAATAAAAACAGCAAAGAGCTTATAAGAAAACATATTAACCGAGTATACGACAAACTAACCACGCTTAAAATTTTATCCCATTTTTTATATGCAATCATCATTATTAGATGATCCGACTGCCGGCTAACAACATCAGGTACTACGGTTCCATCACCAGTCTTATCAGCCAACAAAGCTAATTTTGCTCTTTCAACATTATCCCTCTGCAAAGTATACAATAGCTTATAAATAGTCATTTCTTTTAGTGGAATCAAGAGAAAACAACAAAGGCTTAATGTAAGGACCTCGTCTTTTGGATACACAAATGGTGATTTGTAGCTTAAAAATGCTGAAATAGTAAGAATGGGCGACAGACAACCAAATATCCCACCATATAACATCATCTGCAAGTTCAACAAAAATATTAGATAAGCAGTGACAAAAACATGGCATATGATAGCTCTTTCCAGTCCAACTGAAGACGGAAAGATCCCTATGTGAATGTCTTGTTCAAAATTAGTGACGCAAGCACGAAATCCTTAAGAAAAGACACAAGCACGAAATCCTTAAGAAAAAAACAAATGGAAACAGGGAAATATTCATGGTTTTACTTAGATATGCAAGTCGTCCAGCATTTTGCACAAGGAGTAACTGAAAAGTACTATCTCATTAATAATGATCGATCTTTTGGCGTATAATCCTTTCACGTCTATGATACTTACTATATTTCTTTATTTAATAGGATGGATCACTAAGAAATGATATTGTGCTTGTGCGGATTTACGCCAATCATGACAAATTCTTGTTGTTGTTCTTCCTTGCCATTGTTATTTGTTATTCTAGACTATCTAAGCCATTTCTAAAAACTACTATTCCTTGGAAAAGAAATGACTCAAGAAATCCCAATAGATCACCTTGTCCAGTAAATGACAGGTCTCAAGAAGTACCATAAGTGCATTAGGCATGGGTTTCTATTCACAGTTCTCTTAGCATGTGAACTGTGACCAGATATACATTTCATCACATGTTTATCTCGAATTGACCTATATGCAACAACAAAAACATACTTCTTCTTAAGTTTTCAACAAGCAGGCCTGCTTTTATTATACAAAAGATCTAATTTTAACCTGCTTTAGATCATTATAGTAATATATATGTTTTTACTAAACAAATATAACAAACATGCCGCAGAAGGTTAGAGAAGCCTTCAAATCTTGCAAATAAAGATAGTTGACAGAAAAAGCTGAGCATGTAAAGCATACCTTTCCTATCAGTATATCAACTGGGAGCTTTGCCAGATGATAACCAAGGGGTGTCAACTCTTCATTTCCTTCAATGGCACCGACCTGTGGATGTGGTTCAGTCAAAACATAGCCATGTGAAACACAACACACACTTAACGCTTTTACAAAAATTAAAAGTCATATACATGGACTAAATAGGATAGGAACTAACATGGACTGATAAAAGGACCAGACATTTACAGTAGCAAATATTTTGAAACTGTTAACATCATAATCGATATGTTCATGTCAAACAATATTTACAAGAATATAAATGATTCTTTAGGAAGAGCATAAAATTCTGGTTCGACTATTGTGAACTCATATAGACTGGTCCAGCATAAAGTAGCACTGGTAAAACATTCTGCTCAATTAATGTAACAAGAAAAATGAGAGAAGACATAAAACGGAAGAAATATGTAGTTGGGCCACTAGGCCTACTTCCATGGATGAATGCCGACGAAGGCTATACCAATTGAGTTACTTCTAATTTTGAGTTACATCATTAAAAATATAACTGATGTTAATCACAATGTTTACGCCACAAGGTGCATGAAGTTAATCCAAAAAAATCAATCTCACAGACTGTGAGCAATCGTTGTCAGATATAAGTTCACTATAATTACATCACGAAAAAAAAAATAACACTAATCATTATCTTTAAAATAATTTCAAAAATAATTGTGCCGTGAAAACTTTTCCTTTTCTTGCAAACTTCTGCTATCTATATCTAGGACACTGTCCACACTTTTACATGACAGAAAAGTAATGCATGGAGGTTAATGTCCCTATGCTTACAGAACTAAAACATCTAGCCAATTTATTCGTCTTCTGACGCACTGGTCAATGAGAAAGTTATATTGCGCTGGCTCACTTTACAAAATAAAAAAGGGGATTATACCTCGTAGAGCGAAGAAACTGCTGATGCAATAGCCTCTTCTCTTGGAGGTTCCAGTGCCTGAGACAACCAAAAAGTAAAATGATTGAAAAGGAGACGCATGTCTAGAATTATAAAATTTGAATTTAAAACCAAGTCCAAAAGGTATGTAAAAAAAAATAGACCATATGAACTTACCTGAGATAAAAATTGCTTTATGCCACCCAAAGAAAGTAATTTTACTTGCAGACATAACTCTACCAGTGGCATTCGCATAATCTCGGGAATCTAGACAGCTCAAGCACGTTGAAAGGGTCAGGTATAAGTACGATCAGGCCACAAAGAGCAAATTCATTTCCATAAAAGTATGAACCTGATTATATCCTATTTATCTTTGCTGGTTTAGGTGGGACTAAGTACCTGGTATGGTCGCATTAGTTTTTCATATCTGTGACGTGTATACAAACAAAAGCAAATGCCTGGCTTTACACGCCCAGCTCTTCCTCGTCTTTGCCTAGCATTTGCTTGAGATATCCAGTCCTCAACCATGCTTGACAGTTTCTATTCACATCAATGATGTAGATGAATGTAACTTTTAAACTTACATGCTGGATAATAATTATGCATAATTTTAGATGTAAGTTTCAAGCATATGATCACGAACCTTGTGTGGATTATAACGATTCTCCTTATGCTTTCCACAGTCTACCACATATACAACGTCGTCTATTGTTATACTTGTTTCTGCAATATTTGTGGCGACTATAACCTGAAACATATTAAGAGAAAGAATAAGAGAAGAGTATTATACTATGAATAAGGAGACCCTATTGTTAAACTGACAAGATAATCCACAGGCTCTTTTTTCCAAGTTTCTGTATTAACATAACTTGATGAAATAAGTTCTAAGATGAATCTATATAAAACAATTATAAAAGTTAACAAAATTGATTACAGGAATTCGAAAGGAGATGCCGACATTTGAAAATGAAATCTATGCCAGCTCAGTAAAGTAAGTACTACAGCGGAAAGATTTACCTTACGTATATTATCGGGAGGTTTCTGAAACACCTTCTTTTGATCATCGGGTGCTATAGATGAATGTAATGGAAGAAGCCACTCAGATGCAGCAGGGCCCCCAAATCGGTGAGAAGCAGCAAGTTTATCTAGTAGCAGATTTATTTCTGCAACTCCCTACCATATGAAATTGTAAAATCAAATGGGCAGAAATTGGAGAAAAAACATGCCAAAGAAGCAAATGGCACGATAAACTCAATGGAAATGAATCAATGCCCTACTGGTAAAAAGACTAGTATTGCCCCCTCAGCATAAGTTTCATCGACGTGGCGTACCAGGTCCTCAAGAAGATCATAATCAATAACATCTTCATTCAATCTTCTCTGCAAAATGGCCGTTGACAAGTAATTACAACAATGGCTCATCAAATGCAACCCATATGATAAGAATGATACATACCAAATTTTGGCGAGTTTGCTCACTGTAATCTGGATAATCGCTTCTATCATAATATGGGTTAACAATTTCTTCAGAAAGTAACGACTCATCACCCCAGCCAGATAAGATAAGATTTTTCTTCCCTCTCCTATTGCCAACAGGTGCATTCTGCAAGGTAGAGATGAGAGCATTAACTTAATAAAAATACCTCCAATTTACAACCCCGATTACGATGATAATTGATAGTAATAATTTGAAACAAAACTCTGTAGGCATTGCATGAGTGATATTGGGGTGGAGAGGGTGGTACTAGGTCAAGAGTCAATTCCCTTTGGTTCGGTTTGTAGGACATTTATAAGGCCATAGTTTTTAAAATAATAACAATATGAAACAAAAACCTTCAGTTTTTAAGGTGCGTCGTTGAACACTTATAAGTGCCAAAAGCCAAACAGGCATCTATGAAAACAAAAATTTCTAAGACGACAAGTGAGAAGATTTTTGAATTGTGAAGGATAACTAAAATTTGGGGAATAAAAACATTGTTTTAAATAAATAAAAACTTAACTCCAATTATCGCCAATTATATAACCAGGGAGAGAACAATAAGTCCTCTTTAAAACGAAATAAATTACATCCAAACTGCTTGCCAATCTCACCGGATGTCGCCCTAAGATAGACACTTAAATGAACCTAGCGCCTTGCACTATGAGAGGCAAAGTGTGCGACTCTCTGGCAAATGCAACTGTAGTTTATATTATTTTTCTTTTGCACCTTATTCTGAGGCCAGGAATGTTATTTCTTTTTTTTTTCTTTTTCTTATCTTTTTTTGGCATGTCGGCTGTGTTGTGGGGGGGGGGGGGGGGGTGGGCTTCAGCTCTCTGGCCGCCTACCCATATTTGAGCTGAATTCATACCTTCTCCATACCGGATATTCCATAGTTTATAGAGGCAGGGGAATCTGTTGAAAGGCGGTAGTTCAACTTCTCGTGTATAGTCTCAAGGAACTGGGTTGACACGGGATGTGTTCGCCCTTGGGCAGTAACCACAGGGCAATTACCAAAGTACTGTGAAAACATGTGCGAATCAACAGTTGCAGACCTACATGAAAATAGTAAACAATCAGTAAGTGTATGATTAGAAAATATCAACAACGAAAACATTACCTAAAAAGACAGATAGATACATACATAAGAATAACTTTCAACTTTGATTTGCCGCGAGCACTTTGCTTCTCAATCAGGTTTTTTAGGACAATGAGCAGAAAATCCCCCTGTTACACAAAATGAACCTCGGAAACATAATCCACTTTGACAACAAAATCTTTGAGCATGCTTACACATTCCCAAGAAGGATCATAATAAAAAAGAAGCAACTGTTGCAAAACCGTCCTGCATGTGCTTATTTTCAAAAGTTTGTTTCTACCTTGACCCTTGTCAATATCATCAAAGGTTTTCTATTAACACAACAAAGACACCGAGGTACTTACTATGAGGGTCTCTCCAAGAATGTAATATTTTACCTTTTAAGATATTAAGTAGAGGAATATATTATTTTAGACCTCTAAAGACTACAAACTAAACCCTCTATCTTCACAATCAGAACTTAATCAGCTGCATTCAGTAAGGCAATGAAACGATTTTTTTTTCAAATAAGTAGAGTAAAATTCTACATGCCCTTCTCAAAAGACAAATTTCGCAAATAACAGGACATATATTTTAATCAGATGCATTCTTACGACTGTAAGCATATTAACAACACTAACATAGTCTAAACATTTTATCAATCATGTAAATGTGCACAACATTCGCAACTTCCTCGTAGATTTTGAAAAACAGGTATTACGAGGATGAGTTTTGGATGTTACTGAGAAGAAATTCATAAAATATACGGTTGAGTATGAAAGATGTCATGTCTTTTTCGTTAGTACAACTCTTATCGTTGCCAGATATGATGAGTAATGAAAGTGACAACTATGTGTAAACATTTTCCTGTTAGTCTTAGGGATCGTTAAATTCCAAGGATAACCAAAAGATATCGAACTAACCAGAAGAGACCGTTCATGCACTTCATCAACTATAACATGACTAATATCAGCCAAGTCTTTATTTCCCTGCAAAGAAGACCAGATTAAGAAGGCGCGAAAATGAATAATCGTCTAGCTTTGCATATTTGATTTTCATTGTGTTTATACAACAAAATGAATAGACCATCATTAGAATAAAGATAAAGGAACTGACAGAAAAACTTTCACTAGAGTATATAATTATGTCCTCAACATCTATAAATGGATGAGAAAGGTGTATTGTCAAATAAACTGTGACCTACCGATAACATCCTCAGAAGAATTCCAGTCGTACAAAAAAGAAGCTTCGTTCTTTCATTCCTAAAGCAGAGAAAGAATATATGCATGTAAGAAGCGCAAATAAATTGGTTTTGATGAAAAGTAATAGCTTCTGATAGACTTGCATATCGTCATATAGACAACACAGGTCACAATATGCAAGTTACTAGGAAACAAAAATTTCAAGAAAGGATAACAGTTGATCACCTTGCACTATCTAGACGGACTTGATAACCAACCAAAGAATCCTTTGATCCTGGAGAGGATTCACAACGCTCGTCAGCAACTCTTTCAGCAACAGAAATGGCCTAAAAGAGGACCATTACATTATAAAAGGCATAACCATCACAGACAAAAATTCTAAATATGATATAATAGTATTAACTTGATTTGTCATGATTCTTTTGATGCAAATAACATATGATATGTCATATGTGCACAACTGCAGTAAATTTGCAGCAAAGGAAGTAATCGCATGCAAATCCAGAAACTGTGTTTTCACGATATATGTACAGAAAAAAGGAGTACCTTCAAAATAATTCTGAAGAAAAGCTATGCATTAACTAAAAGTGAACAATGTGATTAAGTTATAGACGTTATATTACTAACCGCAATTCTCCTTGGCTGAGTGCAAACTATATTGCAGTAACCACCGCGTTCTGCTTCAATCATGTTATCTAATATGTACTGTGGGACCTACATAACCATCACAACCATAGAACAGAAAAAAGAAAATCCCATTTGTAAAAGAAGATCAGCACTGAAAATAAAAACTTTCACAATGAGTTGCTCAAGAATCGCCTATGGATCTCAAACCTGAGTTGTCTTTCCACAGCCTGTCTCTCCACAAATAACTACTACGCTATTTTCCTCAAGAAGATGCAGAATGTCATCTTTCAACTCCGCAATAGGGAGGTGCGATCTTGACTGTAACATCTCCTACTTAGCAAAAAAATTAGTTGCATCAAATGTACAGTATACATGTAACACTAGTTATGTGTAATAACTACGTAACAATTATCTCAAAGACAACACACATTGATAAAGGTTTACAACCTTTTAAGATCCTGCAAAAGCATAGAGGAATAGCCATAGATTTTGAAATTGCAGATGTGGCAGGACTGCTTCGAAATTCAGATTTAATAATCCAATCGTGAGTAAATCCATTATCCACCATTGAACCAATGTGTTTCAAGGTGTATTTTACAAGCAAGCATGAATCGTATACTTAGCATTTTCACAAAGTGTGTCCAAAGAATTTTTTTTTTTTAAATCGTGCTACTGGTAATAAGATATATTTTATACATGTTGGGAACTCCTAGGTGCCCTATATTGAGACTTGATATCGATACTACATAATTTCATCATTGATTTTACACCAGCATATAGTGCGGCAAGTTTGCCCCCAATACTAGAAAAGATGATGGCCACTTAAAGTAAATAGGAGTTCACAGTTAGTTTTTACATACAAATTCCCATAGCTCTTTGGCCATTGCAATGTCTCACAGATTTGCTAGAAAGAGAGACCAACCTTGTACTTCTTTATTTCCTTCTTACGGGCTTGTTCTCTTTTAAGATAAATGCTTTCAGCATCCATGTTTCTGCAAACCCCTGCATAACAAATATAAAATCAAGGATGGGATCCAAATAGGCATAGGGTACTCAAGAGCTAAAAGGAAACTTTGCATCTTGCAGATAATGAGACCTACCAAACTTCCACTTAAAAATCTATAATTCATGCATATGTGGCCGCTTATAGAGTTCATCATGTGCATGTGTTATAGAATAACAGAAATCTTTAATGCTTTCACTAATAGGTGTAATCTGATGACTCATTCAGCACTAAACAACTACATTTAACAATTCTTTTCCTGTATAAAATGACTTTGGCCACCATTACCCTCCATACTCACGCACAACTGACATATTTTGAACTAAGGGGAAGAAAAATAGATTGAATCAAATTCAGAATAATAATTACATCATCAGCATTTTGATTAACAAAATGAGGAAAAGAACGTGCAACAATATGCAAGGATATCGTTTCAAACCACACTTGATGCTTAACAATCATGTGCTGCATCACACAACCACCTAAAATTCATTTTCCCATATAGATGACTCTGACCTCTATTCCCGAGTAATACCACAAATACTCCAAGACAGACACACATATACACTTTCAACAAGGAAAGAAATATATTTGACATACGTTCAGACATGTGATCCATGCCACCAGTAATATCTTCAGAAACTACTTGAATGTTCTCCTGATCAGCACTATCAATGACATCATCCCCAACAATACGTTCAGCCTTGTCAGCATTCAACAGTGAGTCCACAAAGCCAGCCTTTCTATCTTCATGATTGTCTCTTACAGATGTCATCAATTCACCTATAAATTATTTTAATACACCAACCAGGGAACTGAATAAAAATAGAAGGTCGCCAACCATATAAATGAACAAGTTTCAAATTCAACAAATTTTGTGGTTGTCGTCTCAAAACAAATAGTTACAAGTACGGTAAATCACCTTCCTTCCATTTCAGTACAATTGAAGCATATGGCTCCGAGAGTACTAACTGAACAGGTAGATCTGGAAAGAGACAATGGAGTGCATAAGCTGCAACTCTGTTTTGTGCATCCTGAGGTGAAAAGATTAGCTAAGACCCTTCCTAAAGGATTTATTATAATAAATTCACCAGATGCCAAGCGTTAAAAGGTAAAATCCTTCATGGTATAGTAAGCGGGTGCACTACCCTTGGGAAGAAAAAAAAATAAGGAATTTACAATTCCAGTATAAACAGGTAGATAAATGGATTACTGTACAATTTTGAATCAAAACGAGGGAATCAGATGAATAAACTATAAAACTCTGGTGAGGCCCTACAATATTATATCAAAATACGATGAGTCGAGTCTTCTTTGTCAAAAATTTTGAGCTAGGAAAGGCATTTAATATTTTCATTATAAGTTTTCACGGTGATGAAATTCTATATTCAGTACCCGGGTTAAAATATTACAATCAAGGGATCATCACTGTTTTAAGATTTAACAACTGTATTTATGTTTGCTATCAAAAATATTTTGGAAAGATGTGCTGCAGCACACACCAAAGGTAGGCTAAAATTGTAGGTTTGCTTAATGCCTGGCTATATTTATATATTACACATGTTCCACTGAGACAAAGCTCTATGGGAATACTTCATACAGCCAATTCATCCTTTAATTACCTATGGTGAAAACAATAATTTCCGGTAGCACCAAACTGGTCATGATTTTCTTAGTCTGAGGGAACGGGAGGGGTAATAGCGTATGAATTGGTTACAAATGGCACTATTTAGAGCAATACCAGCTGTTTACCGACTAGGTGCCATCATGCCAACCAACAAAATGTGATCTATATCAACAGAGACACCCTACGCCAAGCACAACATAAAGCTTCCAGCAAATTAAAATTTGGGTAAATTACACCAACACCCCTGAGGTATGCTTAAATAACTGTAAGGTCCCTATGATATCGATAATTACAGTCACCCCCTTGAGACGTAGTTAGAAACTCTAACGGGATAATGCATTGGATACATTATTCCGATAGGGTTCTAATGGACTATTACTTTTAGCTAGTGGTGGAGATAACATAGAGTTATGGGGAGTAATGGGGTGACATGCCTCCCGAAATATTTCTTAAATCACCCATAACTTTTTGTCGTCTCCACCACTTCCTGAAATCAATAGTCCGTTAGAACTCTGTCGTAATAACGTATCCAATGCATTATCCCATTAGAGTTTATAACTACGTTTCAGGGGGATGAGTGTAATTATCGATACCATAGGGACCTTACAGTTATTTAAGCATACCTCAGGGGTGTGGGTGTAATTTACCCTTAAAATTTTTTCCAGCTATCTACTACTCATTTGAGAAATATATACTGGCCTCCTATGATGTCTGTTACTGCTGAAAGGTATTCTCGAGTGGGTTAAGAAAAATGACCCTACTCATTAATGCAGCCAACATAAACAAACGTCCCTTTAATATGTACCAATTTGATTGTTAGTTGTACTTCTGTAACTATCTTCAGAAGTAGAAGCCAGGTGTTATACCTCGGGTGTATTAAAACTTTCATCCTGAATCGGAAGCTGAATAGTTCTCAAACCTCCAGCTTTTCTACTTTTTCCTCTCCCACTAGCTTTCTGCAGTACACTGATAGAGTAACCAGAATTATGTCCTTTACTAGGAACTTTATCATATTTTGGTGCTTCCCATCCGGATCTTTGGCAAAGTTGGTGAAGAACAGCCTTTGGAATCTTTTTTGGATCTCCCTGGATATAATCATACAAAAAGAATTAAAACCACAAGCAGAATTATAGAAAACTGGACAACTATTTAATTCAAAGGAAAACTAACTCGGCTAGAGAAGATGTAGCAGATGGAGAGGCGAGAGAGGGAAATGAAATGATGTCACATAACAAGAGCATATATGATGACGAAAGAAAGAGTGATAGACCATGCCTTTCTTAATAAGAAGAAATAAGAAAGAGGATGCATCTTGGGATCATAGAGTACTTACAGATTGGTGAAGACATGAAATGCTAGGAAAAACGAAAGCACTAAAAAGCATATCTCAAGTTTTCTGGAGCAGCATTTAGTACCAAAATTAGCTAGATTATTACCTTCTTCCAGATGCCTTCCATTTTTTCCAAGTTCTTCTCACTACAAAGTTCTTTCATTTTCTCTCTCTTCTGTAGTTCCAATACTTCAGAAGGTAACACAGAACCAGATGTGTCTTCTTCCAAGAAAAAATCACCAAGCTCTACATCACCCGATTCCCTTTCCGAAGCATCTTCATTTTGAGCGGGAACACTCATAGAAGCACTATCAGTTGAGCATTCATGTAAGCGGGAGCTGTCAACTCTCTCTTGATCAACTTCAACCACAAACTCCGTATGGCCTGTCTCACCTTCTATTTCACATACATTAACATTATCACCATCTGAATTGTCTGTAGGGACAGCATCAGAAGCTGCATCTGTGGATGCACGATGCAACGAACTTGCATATCCAGATTCCAGAATATCAACCGGTAGTCCTGAAAATTAATTTAATTTCAAGCAACATCATGCACCATAAATATGTTCAGAGTAGTGAAACTGAAGACTGCAGTAACATTTTCTGGCACCTAAGGCTGATATCTCCTGCTTGAGTTTCCGAATGATTAGACCTGCTTCTTCCTGGCTTTTCTTATCGCGTCTATCTTTCGCATTTGCAGCTTGCAGCCTGGCAGCATGGTAATCCGCAACAATAGACTCATAGTCGCTCCTTGGTTGCAAGGCCTACCACAAGAGTAAGTAGAACATCAAAAGGCAGGATTTATACATGACAGGGTGAAACTTCTTTGTCTTATTTTTCTCTTAGTTAGAAAGCATTGAGTCCAAGGAAGACGTGGTTATGGGTCCACATGTTCCTACTCAAGGTCAAATTGAACTCTGCCCCAAAGATAAATTTCTAAATGGGAGATCTATTTGAAATGAAATTCAAATTATCTTGGATCGATACGAAGAAAAAGAAAAGTTATGTGACTGTCAGTCAAACCATCATTTACAGAATCCTTGTGGGTACTAAGATAGACAGTGCAAAAATTCAGATAGTAAATCAATTCAGACACGAATTATCGAATGAGATGAAATACAAGAAGATAGATCAACAAAAATTCACGTCCTGGTCTTAATTTATGCATGGTATTACCATAACCTACAATATTATAAGTGGAAGTACCTTCTTTGAAAAACCATTGTTTGGTGAATAACTTTCCCAAGAATCAGAGTCATCCTCCTGCACATGAAATTTTATCATTAGCCGTCCAACAGTTCTACAAGTATTCAATACAAACTACAACAGTTCATATTTTCAATTCATCTGAAGATGACTCATCCTAGTTTGTCTAAATGGAGTGAAAGTACCTCTTCCTGTTGTTCCATATATTGACGGATCCAATCTGCTTGAGAATGCTGAACAGAGTCTAGTGTTTCATCATTTTTCCGCTCTTTAATTTTTAGAGCAACTTCTGCCTTTTCCTCAACTATTCTTGCTGGTGACTCCCTTGATGAAATCCAATCTTCACGAGCTGTTGATACTACACCAACAGAACCTGCTCGGAAAGTGCATTAAGACGTCGCTTATGCTCTGTGTCAAAATCAAAGCAGAAGAAAAAGAAAACCTTGAAAAGCGCCTATCTGGAAATTTTAGAGATGAGCACCGATCTAAAACGACATATACGATATCTCAGTACCTCCACTTGTATGTGAATAACTGCCTGTGGAGAACTTCAGTGGGAGCTCATTCCCCGAAATATTTAAGCATAGCCAGTCTAAAGCAGCCTCATAAGTTGAATTCTCCTAATAAATATAACAAAACAGCAAAAAATGATTCACATGTAATACCTCAATTTAAAGATGGTTTTCAATGCTATGAACATTTATAAATATCATAATACATCACTTCAATTGAAGAAAATTAGCTTCTGATAAACTGCACCGTCAGCAAACAAGAACTTGATGAAATACATTGGCATTTTATCGAAGAAAGAAAAAAAAAATCTCAACATAATTGGCACTCCTCAAGGTAGGAAGGGCTCTTTCGTTCTTCGCGATCATACTCATTTTTTTCTCGAAAATATTCCAACACTCTAATTACCTACCATGGTCTTTGTTTATGTTACTAGTAAATGCAATACCGCCATTACTATTTCGTTTGCACCAAATTGTACTAGATACTTCATCCTTGTAGAACAAATTCATATTCAGTACTGAAACCACTCCAATTTATCAACAACAAATTCAAATTCACAAAATTAATGGTTTAATTCAACTAGTAAAACCCCAATTACGCAGGCCAACCTTGAGAGTGGAGAGCACAAGTTCAATTTGATCATCCTTAAAACCATCGCAAGACAGCTTCTCGTAAACTGATCGCAGCCTCTTGGCCTTCTGCTCCTTGGAGAGAGTGTCTTCCGGCGGCGCCGTGGAAGGAGCCGATCGTCCGGAGTTGAGAAGAAGACGGCGGAGGCGGTTTTCGTTATCCGCCGATAATTGGAGCTTGGGACCGGTGGATGGCGCGGGTTTCCCTTTCGACGACGACGACGGTTTTTGCTGTTTCTTCTTCGGCGCCATTTTCGCGTACAACACTGTCAGTGTGTGTACACGCGCGCGTGTATGGGGGGTTTCAGGGGTATATTTGGTGGTTACGGTCGCCGGGGTTTAAACGGCGAATTGATTGTGGGTTATGTAATGGGCCTATTTGTTTTAAAAGTGGGCTGTTTCGTAATATTTAAAAAGATAGCCCAATTTCTCAAGAGGCCCTAGCATAATTGAATTTCTTTTGTCTTTTTTTTTAAAGAAATTATGTAGACAAGTAAAAATTATTAGTTATTATATGTTTTATTATAAAAATTACACTTTCTATATATCCAGATGTATTTTAATATTCTCTATTTTATACTCGTTTTGTGCAAATATACAGTTTTTGATGCACCACAATCTGATGTATACAAGTCAAGAGACACATCTTATGATCATCTTGTTTCAAAATGTGGAGCTCGAATATGGTAAAACATGTACACACTGGAGAACATTCCACACAATCAAGAATATTCTACTAAATTTGACACCGTAATGGTGGACATGTAAGAAGATTCATAGTTGATGGGGATGATTGTAACTAATTACCCATAAGGGTTTCGTAATTTAATCTTACCTCAGATGGTAACCGTAATTTATCCAAAGAGAAAAGGAATCCGCCCCTAAGTTTAGCGTCTACAAGAAGGGAAGCTAGATGTTGCATCTGATTATTTACATCAGGTGAATTTGAACCGTAAATTAGTTTGATTAAGTAACTACTCATTAAATACAAATATACATGGGGTATATGTGATTATGTGTAGATCTACAGTTCAAATCATATCATGTGTAAATAACCTACATGTATAGTATCTAATTTTCCGTCCCGACAAGAATGTACAAAATAATCCAAATTGAAAATCTTATTATTATTTCGCCTTTTATTGACACAAAATAACACAAATTATAAGAGCTCTATCATGCACATAATTAGATCACACAATTATACTATAACACACACACGCGCACACAAACACACCCCACATCCACTCCATCGTCTTTGAAAAACAAAAATAGAAGAAAAAAAATAGACAAAAATAAAAAGATACAATATTGAAGAGTAAAATTATGAAAGAAAAAAAAAAAACAAGAAATTAATGTCAATTCCATTGGAGGTGAGAAGAGGAATAAAGAGGATTATGAAGAGTAGTAGTAGACAATTTCCCCTTCTTCCTCCAAAACAATAATTCCCCAACAAGAGGAATAATAGGCTTCTTCTTCTTCCTCACCATCTCCTTCTTCTTCTCTCCAAAGCTCAAAATTTGCGCCAAACTCGGCGAAGCTCCCCTCTCCATCTTCAAATAAGCATCCCGTTTCTTCTCCTCCTCTCTTATCACCATTGCTCCTCCGCCACCACCATCCGACGCGGCCTTCCCCGCCGCTGCGGCCTCGGCCCGCGCCAACTTGGACATGTTCCTATGTAGCTCGGCGTTCAAAGACGCCACCGCAACCTCGGTCTCCGATTCCCTCTCCTTGAGCAAATTGAGCTCGGCTTTTGTGTCCTCGAGCTCGAGCTCCAGCTTTCTGACGGTTTCCGACAGCGACTGCGACGGCGGCTCGGTGTTGTAGTAACTCGAAAACCTAGGACTCGTCGTGAGGGAAGTGTAGTTCGACGAGGCCGGTTCGTCTTTGTGAGAATGATCTAGTAGTAGTAGGGGTAGTTTCGGGCTCGGCGAGAAAAAGGGGGTTTCTTTCTTGGGGAAGGCGAAGGGTTCCCTCGGCGTGTAGATTTCTCCGACCAAGAAACGCTCCCCGAATATCGCCACCGCCTCCTTCACGGAGCGGAATGGGCGGGAGGTGTCCACGGTGGAGCGGCAGTTACTGGCGGCGGCCGCCGCCACGTCATCGGAATCTCGGGGTACTTGTTCCATATTGATTATTATGATGTGTTGTAGTTAGTTAAGAAAAATAAAAAGGGTGAGAAATGGGAGTGGTTTATAAGTACCTAGATATTGGAGTTTTACTTAGCTTATAAGTCAAATTTTGTACATGTGATGTAGTATTGGTATATAGTAAGGAAAATGAGATATACCGTGATTTGAAGGTTAAGACAATATGGGGATTTTGTTAGGGGTTACGTTGTAAGAAGCAGACAACTCAACTACCATGCACGTATGTATATATAATTGTGTGTATTAATCTTAAGACATAATACCTAAACCTAGGAGAGATCAAAATCATTAATTCATTATTCAATCATTGTACGTACTTATTATAATATGATCTGATGCAAAGTAGACAAGATTAAATCAACGGTCCTATGTAATTGCTAAAAAGTTAGGTCATTTCTTGGTGATGACTTTAATTTTTTTTTTAATTTCTTTTTTGGGTGGTAACTGGTGAGTGCCCTGAAATATGATGAGCCTTCTATATTTATTTTATTTTTATATATTTATTGATTTAGTATGAATAATAAATAAAAATGGGTAAATTGTGAAGAAAACAAAAAACCTTCATTATTGGGTAATTATAACCGCTACTTCAATTATTTATTATCTTGCAGTTGCATGTCCACTATTACAGTTTCAAATTTACCTACTGAAGTTGTGATTTTTACGTAAAACAATAATACATATGCAGAGATGGTTGTAATTACCCAAAATATGAGGGGTTCTTTCGTAATTTGACATTATCTCAAGGGTGACATTTAATTACCCGGTGAACACTAGTGCTACTATTTTTTTTCGAAATTGTGAAGGTAATATTATCTTTTTTATTCTATGTTGTTTCATCAGTCGTTCTTTGTACTTCGAAATTTAAATCCTATTATATATCCTTTCCAATTTGTAAACATTAACTTTGATACACCAAAAATTTATACTTCTCTCGTATGATCTCTCAAACTTTTCAAGAAAATATATTTTAGTCAATTTCTTCATATTTTTCTCATAATTTAGGGGTATTTGCACTCGGCTCCCCTGTGAAATCTCTAATTGGCAAAAAAACCCCTCGGATAAATAAATTAGCAAATACCCCCCTATGAAAGGAAGTCAATGACAATAAGGACCCTACGAGCGAATCGTGGGATACACTCGCGGTTCATGCAGCTGGGCGTGCGCTTTAGGACATTTTAGGACATGAAAAGACATAAAAACCCTTTGTAAGAGGAAAAAAACCCAGAGTGATTCAATTATAAATAATCTAAAGTTATAGGACTAAATTATAATTATCAAAATTGTGGGCTGAAATCACTATTTTGGAAAAAATATCGTCTTCCCCAAAATCCAAATTTCTTCTTCGCCATTGAAATCACCACCACCAAATTCCCACCACCACCACCAAATTCCCACCACCACCACCACCACCGGCACATCACCACCTCTTCCCGCCGGACCCACCCCTTTCCTTCTACAACATGTCTCCTCCGCTCTTCTTGACCCCCCCCCATGGAAAAGCTGTTTTGTCGGCCCATCCATGAATGCCCTGCCCCAGCGGAGATGTTGATCTAACCCTTCCTAATTAATCCGGTTTGTCAGAAAGGTATGTGATTCGTGTCTCTTCGAAGGTTGGTTTCGATTGGCTGCTTTGTGTTCAGTCTGTTGTTATTCCAGACTGGAAATAGAACTCAGAAAGCTTCACCTTTACAAGTCCGTGGCTGTGGCTCTTTTCTTTTGGAAGCCATAACTACGAACCCCCATAGCAAGGTCTACAGCACCGCTATGATAAATCCCAGTCCAGTAACCTGGGGAAGGAAGAGGTGAAATTCTTTTTCCTTTCCAATCTACCCAAATCGACAGTCCAGTAACCTGGGGTTTTGATGGTTAGGGTTTTGCTGAGCTGGTTCCCCAATATTCCTTGGGACGGCGGCGGTGCGGAGGGCTGGGGCTTGGGGAAAATGGTGGATGAAGTTGTGGTGGTGGGTGTGGGGTGTGGTGGAAGACGGGATGAAGAAGAAGACTATTTTCTTTTTTCTTTTTTCTTTTTTCTTTTCCTTTTTTAATTGTTATTATATTTAACACATATTTTATTTATATTTGTTTGTTTAAAATTGAAAATTTATTAAAAATTGTTAGACATTATTTTTTATTTTTCGCTTTATTTTTTATTAAGGGTAATTCTGTCATTTCACTTAAGTCAACGAGCCAGTGCACACAAAGGGGCGGTGGGCTGACTAAAACACAACAGAGGGGGTTATAAGCTAATTTTTTTTTCCGGGGGGGTTTTTTGCTTCCGAGAAATAACACAGGGGGGTCTATGCAATTAACTCGATAATTTATGCATATTTACATGTCTTTTAATACGTGTAACAACCCAAAACGATAAATGTTCGCAAAATACAGCTAGCATATTCCCTGCCAATTAGAAATTACATTTACCCCGTAACAAATAACTGAATGTGCAAAAGTTTTAAGTTATCAAATAACAATCTAATTTATTACAAGTTTAAAAAAACAAAAAAACAAAAAAAACTGACAAAAACCTTGGAGATCTA